GGGGGGGGGGGGAGGCCGGGCTGGCGCGAGCGCAGCCTCGAGCTCCCCGGATAACGGCGATGCCTTCCGGCTCAGTCTCCTCGCGCAGCTACACCCCAACGCTTCCTCCCACCCACCCTTCAGACCACTTCCCACTATGCCAAGCCCGCCGCACGAGAACCGCCGGCCCAAACGCCCGCGCGAAACCTAGGAAAGGGGTGGAGCCAACGATGACGCAGTGGCTGTTACTCGTGTGCGCAGGGGTGCCCCTGCGCATGCGCCCTGGGGTGGCAGTGACCCGCTGCGGTGGAGACCGTGAGGGCTCTCTGACTTGGCTCTGGCCGCGTGAGCGAGGGGCCCCAGCCCCTCCTTCTCGCCCGGGGTGAGCGCAGGCTCCGCCTCGCTCCAGTGTCCGCCGGTGATGGGCGGTTACGGGGAGGTGGGTGCCCTCAGCCCTACCCCGCGGGGCTCCTCAGCGCGCGGGGGGAAGGGGTGGTGGCTCCCCAACGGTGCACCGACCGCTGGTCACGTGATGGCTTTAGGGCAGGCCCCGCCCGCTGGGGGTGGTGCTGAGGAGCCTAGGGGGCGGGCTGCACCTTGAGGCAGTTGAGGCCCCCTTGGATCCTAGGCAGGCCGATGGTAGGGAGGAAGTGCACCTCGTGGACTGATTCAGGGGTGTCGAGCTTTCCTCGTGTCTCTAGCCAGGGGGCTCCTTGCCAGGCTGGATCTATCCCAAGGCACAAGGAGGCGGGGATGGTGGTAGGCGACACTGCTTTTCGCCCTCCCTGGCACAGCTGAGTGGAGGAGCTGTCACCGCCAGGTGTCCCATCAGTGCCACCGAGAGCTCTTCTGCTTCCCCCCACTGCCGCCGCATGCCCACAAGTCATTATCACTGCCAGGTGTCCCACCACTGGCACCGAGCACTCTTGTGCCTGCCCCCGCCCCGCCCCACTGCTACCGTGTGCCTACAGGTTGCAGCATCCTGTGGGTAGGCAGCTGGACCATATGTTTGACACCCCAGGGCTAATGAAATTGGTAGAAGGATCATGGCACCAATGCCGCTCACAGCCTTGGGAAGGTGTTCAGGTTCTTCCTGTGAAGCGGCAAAGTCGTCCATCTCCTGCCCCCCCAAGAACTGGCATGTGGACAGACTGCTGTATATGCCTGAATCCAAGTTGACTTTGAATTTAAGACACCCTACCCCAGAATTAAATTTGGTGTGTGGAAAATTATAAATGTCATAATTTTCCATGTGTGGAACCTAATTAGTAGAAGGTTGTCTTAAATTTGTCACCCCTCCCCCTAACCCTCCGTCACTGCTGTGACAGAAAGCAGTAGTAGAGGGAAAGGAACCAGACCCCTGCGCTTTCCCTGCCTGCACCTTGTTGTTCCCATGAATGTCTTGGTGCCTTCCTACTTGATAAACCCACATCAAGCCACAGTTGGAGTCTGTGAAAGCAGTGGAAGTGAAGTTTCCTTGACGTGAAAAAATAGGGCTGCCAGGTGTCATGAATCTGATGTTGCTCTCATGCATTTAGCTGCCAAATTATATATTTCAATCTACCAGCTGCGCTATGGACTATAGACGTTAGTCTTCAAGTGTGTGTTTTGGTCACTGGAACCATCACTAATGCTTGATGAATAGAAAGACAGGCCTGTTTTTTCATAACTGTTTGATTACAGCTGTGAATGAGTGGTTGAGAGGAACTGGCATCTGTAAGAGGAATAGCATAGGGTGAGGGGTCTACTACTGGCCAGGCTTCCATCAGGAAACATTCAGCTTGACCAGCTATAACACCTGCAACACACTTCTAATTCGCAGTAGGGCTCAGCGAAACGGCACCATTCTGTTTCGACTTACGTTTTGATTGAACAGCGTTTTGTTTTGAATTTCATTTCAATTCGAAACTGTTGTTCCGTTTCGTTTCATCGAAACAGTTTTGCTGTTTTGATGCTGTTTCAACATTTCACCCATAGGCTATAATGGGGAAGCTCAAAACAGCCTATAACTGTCATTTCTGGCCTGATTTGGATGAAACTTGCAGGAATGGTAGCCCCTTCTGAGGGCATGAAGCCTGCCAAGTTTCAAGGAGATAGGTGTAGGGGTTTCAGGGAAACTGCAGGGGTGACACTGTGTGTGTGTTAAGACACAGCAGAGTGAAAATTGCGGGCATGCTAGCCCCTGCTAAGGCCATAAAGCCTGCCAGTTTTCAAGGAGATAGGCGCAGGGGCTTCTGGGTTCTTGGGTCGTGCACCTCTGGCTGCTGACAGGCAAAACTTGTGACATGGGTGCTTGTGAGACTGTCTATTTTGGGGCATAGTGGGGTGAAAACTGCAGGCCTGCTAGGGCCTGCCACAACCATGAAGCCTGCCAGCTGTCAAAGAGATAGGTGCAGGGGGAGTCTGGGTTCTGGGGGCCCTGCACCTCTAGCTGCTGACAGGCAAAATTAATGACATGGGTGGGTGATACTGTGTGTGTGTTAAGGTGAACCCTCACTCAACTGACACCAAGGCAGAAAGCAGGGCAATTCAAACAATGCTGGTTGTTATGTAGTTTTTCCATCCCTCCCCGAGAGAACTGGGATTGGAAGGGACCTCAGGAAAGGATGACAGTCACTGGCCAGCTACACAGTCAATAATGAGAGTGCTCCTTCCCCCCTCTTCCTCCTCCCTCTCCTTACTTTAGTTTCTGTTTCCCTGCAGGCAAGCCCAGCTTGAGCTTCGAAACTCAAAACCTTTTGAAACATCTGAAACGTTTTGACTTGCCTTGTTTTGTTTTAAGGCTGTTTTGATGCTCTGTTTCTCTTCGATTTTGCTGTTTCAACCTCGAAACGAGTCGAAACAGTGTCAAAACAAAACTGCCAGTGAAATTTTGCACAGCCCTAATTCCCAATTCCTTGTTCATCCTGCAGTCCCAACATCCACTTTTCCATTTAGTTTATCTTAACACCCATGAATGAATATCTATCAGCTTGAGCTGCCAAGTATTGTTCAGCTCTGTACCTTCCTCACACTGATGATCATGGAGTAGAATAATACATTTAATAGAAGCTTGTAAGTCTACAGTGTTATGCAAATTGTTTGCATAATATTTTATACGTGGTGCATCATAAAACTTGGTCTTATGAAAAGACAGAGCAAGGTCAGCTTTGGAATTCCCTAACTTCTTCCTTTGTGTCCCTGGATCAAAATAGCTTAAACTTTCAGGGAAAGCTGCAAGAATTAAATTTATACCTGGGCTTTCAAGAAGGAGATATTATTTGTGGGATGATATTTAGGGATTACATTTGCCTTTTTTTTCCTCCTATAGTCAGTTACTGCTGTGTAATTTGAAAGTTGGTGGGGGTTTTTTTCTTTCTTCATATTAAATATTTGCTAAAGACACCAGAATATAAGATACATGGCTTAAACAAATACACGCACATGCTTTCCTGGAAGAAGTGATGCATTACTTCAACCCAGCTCTGCAGCGTCTCTATAGATAAGGCAATCAACTGTTAGATAAAAGCATCAAAAGAGCCCTACTAAAGTGCCCTGCACACTGTGTCTTCCGGCCTTGCACTGGGCTTGGGGTAGGGGTGCACCGAGTTTAAAGTAAGCACACTTTTTTTTGCTTTTTTTTTTTTTTTTATGTCTGCAAGCAGTCTGGAAATTTTTGGAAATTTTTACTTTTATGAAGTACAGAAAAAGCTATTTTAATAGATGGATTTAGGTTGATTATTTTCTGTTTTCGTGACCGCACTGCACATAATCAGTTATACTTTCCCCCCCTCGAATAAAAGGGAATATTGATTGTGCAGCTGGATGAGCATGGATGGACCTTTGTAATCTACATAGAGCCGTATTAACTTGTTTAGGGCTCCGTGCAAACTAAGGTGATGCCTTTGCAAATTTGTCAGAAGACCAGGGTCCTCTTCAGTTTCCTTTGTCATTTGGGTATGTTGTCTAAAGCAGCAAGAGGGGAGTGAAATGCTTTATACTTTCTAGGAATAGAAAACAGTGATTTTAAAAAAATTACAAAAAATGTTGCAGGAATCAAGGCAGCTATCACTGTCTGAAAACACTGGAACTTAGTATTTTTATATAATTTATATTTCAAATTCTGTAAACCTCAAAACACCCTCAAAGTTAGGGAAGCTGAATTATCTTCAGTTACACATGGGGCAACTAGGGCACAGAGTGATTAGGTGACTTGCCTAAGAAAGTCTTTGAGACAGAAATAGAAGAAACCAGATCACTAGTCTGTTAATCACAAGACCACTTTCATTCCTTCTTGTCAGAGTAAAAAGTGGTGTGATAAATGAATTAGTCTATCTATAGCATTGACATTCAGAATGTACAGATTGGAAATATTTCTGTATTTATTTTTACTATTTTTATTTCTAGGTTAAAGTGAAAATACCTTTTGGAAATAAATACTTAGATGCCATATTTTCTGTCCCAGAGAGGATATCAACACATGGTGTGGTTCTTACCCATGGAGCTGGAGGAGACATGAATTTCCCTCATTTAGTTTCTTTGGCAACCTACCTTGCTTCTCATGGAGTCTTGTGTCTGCGATTTACCTGTAAAGGGCTTAACATTACCTATCGGACTAAAGCATATAAAAGAGTTGTGGTAAGAAATTACTAGATTCCGTTTTAAAATCTGGAAAACTCAGACAGCCATATCTTGGAAGCTACTTCAGTTTTATTTTATCAAAATCCTTTTACACACCACAATATACTCTTTGTATATATTTTTTTGTGTTACTGCAAGGTATTAAGGCATAGTACACAATTATTTTGGCTGGAGGGCCACTTAATCAGTTTTGGTGTCCTCTGGGCCACATGAGTTTTGGTGTCCTGTGAAAGGCCACATCTCTCTCCCTCCCTCCCTGGAGCTGTACCATACCCCAGTCCTCTTTCTTCCCCTCCCCATATGTAGAATGCCCTGATCCTCCCCCTCTCTCTTCGCCTTCACTCCCCTGCAGAGTTGTAGCGTGCCCCAGTCTTTTCCTTTTTACTCTCCCTCCACAGAACTGTAGCACAACCTGATCCTCCATCTCTTTCCCTCCCTCCCCACTCCCAACCACTGCCCAGATCTGTAGCAGATCTCAGTCCCCACTCAGAACCTGCCAGCTCCATCTGCAGGTTATACCACTACCAGCACAATGCTGTGGAAGTAGTCCTAGGTAGGTGCCAGCATCAACTGTAGATATGCCCAGCAGGTTTCAGATGAGGATTGAGGCATCTGCCCAGGTCCACAGCTGATGCTGCCTTATTAGCACTGGACAAAAGCAGTCCCACCCACATGCCGCATGCGGCAGAAGCAGTCCCAGGTGCCTACTCAGCACCACGTGGGAGCCAGAGCCGCCAGCCACCTATGAGTCAGATCTCATAAGTTGGTGGCCACCCAGCCATGGGCTGGATACGATCACTTGGCTAGCCAAATCCAGCCCACAGACTGTATTTTGACCACCCCTTCATTAAGGTATTCTTGGGGTTATCAGTTTATGTTAAAATCAACATCCTTCAATAGTAACTTAAGGACTAGATTGAGTCTTAAGGAAGACACTTTTAAAGAGCTGCAATTCTTCCCTTGCTCTGGGATATATAGGAGGGAGCGCAGCTCTTGAAAATGCACAGCTTATTTCCCATTCCTGGCCCCTGGCCTAGACATCCACTCTAACCATTTTCTGCATCAGTCCATATTCTTCATCAGATCTGCAAATTCAGGATTCAGGTGTGCCTAGAAAGGGAGATTTACTTAACTGAGTAAAAAGCACAATCCAGCCACCAGAGATTTCACACACTGATACCACAATTAATTATATATCTATGATATATGCACCATTTTACTGAAGTTAGATCTTGCCAATGTTAATGTGAGTTTGTTCTGTGGAACTTTGCGTTTAAGTACTTTATAAGAACACTATCTATCTTACCCAATTTTCTTGTAAGGGAAATAAAAATATTGATAATACATTGAAAGTTAATTTAAAGAATGCTCCTAGTTTTTAGTGCTTCAAGGCACTTCAGTCAGACTCTCCATATACAGCCCTTTTCATATTGTAAAATGCTGTTTTTTATACAAATACTAAATGTTGTCTTATTTCTTTAGGAGTATTTAAAGTCATGTGAAGAATATACACTTTCTGGTGTCTTCCTTGGAGGTAAAAAGCCACAGCAATGGCTTAAAGATATAAATTGTATAATTATTCTGTTCCTGAGGGCTAGGAAGAATTTAGGAGTCATCTGGATTGATGCAAAAGGCTATGAATCTGCAGACCCTAAGAATTTTGTAATTGTGTTTTGATCCGTAGTTTGATACAATACATAATAGAGGGATGGATATGAAAGGGGCAAATGAAATCAGATATACAGTTATGATTTTCATATGTTCCAATTAGTACTTCTTTAGTTTTAATGGTTTCTTTAATGTTACATGGGCACAGTTAAGTTGTCTAAAACAGTACTTAAGTATCATAGTAACCTTTTTCTGGCATTTTGCAAAATGTGCATAATGCTAGTATATTACATACATTGCAAGTAATTAGATAATTTAGTGGACAGTTTATTTTCAGTGTGAACATAAAAGTGAGATGATTGTTTTTATTTTTAAATGGGAGGAAGGTCGTTCCATGGGTTCACGAGCTGCTGCCTCTGTTGTACGTCAGATTAGCCAGGATGACAGCAAGGATGAATTCGTTCTAGGTTTAATATGTTTGTCATATCCACTGCATCGGCCAAAACTTCAGTCCAAACTTCGGGATGAAGATTTATTTTTTATCAGATGCCCTGTGCTGTTTGTCTCAGGATCAGAAGATGAGATGTGTAAAAAAGTGAGTTCCAGTACATATTCCATAACGGGGCAGAAGAGGGGAGAGGGAGATGATATTCTTCATCTAAACTTGTGACTGTTGTTAATAAGTTTTCACGTACTGCTGTACCAGAGAAGGCTCCAGGCAGAAAATTTAAGTCAGTCAGTGAGTCATATTTGCTTTTGCATAGGGCTGTTAGACTTGCATGATTAGGGCATGCCAATTTTTGTACTTACTAGCAAGCTAGGGTGTAATATATCTAGCTAGCATCCACATCCAGCTGCCTTTTCTTCCTTTTTGTAGCAGAGTTGACTGGGGGAAAGGCACAGGTCCAGAATGAGGCTTGAATGTTTGCTTCAGGATATATAGCAAATAGCTTAACCATTCTGCCACCATGCCTGGTCCAATCCAGGAAATTGGATATTGCTAGGATACTGGATAATAGGAAATTGGATATTGCTAGCTCATCCTTCAGTCTTTTATAAAAGTGCTTTTAAACACGTTTTTGGCCTTTTAGGAGTGGGCCAGATTGTATCAGAAAACTATTATACATGGGGGGAAAAAGACCTTAGAGAGGATATATCTGATTGTTCCAAAACTCCCTTGCTGTATTAGATTATGCAAAGTGAACAATATGCTATGATGGATATATACAGCATGTTTTTCAGAACAAATACAACTATTACCAAAGTACCTTTGGAAAATAGTAATTTTACTGTCTTCCGATGAGGAAAAATTTTGCATCCCAAACTCAACAAAATATCCAAGTGTTAATACTGTTCCAAGTACAGTTTATCTGCTAACAGTGTCTGGAAGTTATCTTTTTTCTATTTTCCCACCGAGTAGATGCAAACAAATCAGTTTTGGGTATATGTTGTTGGGTATTCTCCGTACAAAATTTGCTAGGACTTAGAAGTATGTGCATATAACAGTCCAGCTCAGGCAATTGTTTCTGAGAGATCTTAAAATTTTAAATAGAGGTTACAGCTAACATAATGGCTATTATATTAGCAAGCAGTTGCTTGGAGTTTGCTCTTAATTTGAGAAAGCCATCCATCCTTTATTAGAGAAATCTGTTTATGGAGCAAGTCCAACAGAGAAGGAGCTAGTCTCAAAAGAAATATTCTTATATTTCACGTTCCTCCAGTTTGTTGCAGATGGTTACCTTTATTGACAGTAAGAATAAATTCTTTTTCGTTAAGTATTTGAGAGGGTGTTTCAGAGAGCTGTCTTCTTAATCTCAACTATACTTCATTTCAGGAGAATAACTAAAATTGTGCGCATTACTTTGAGGAGGTTTCACTGTTGAATACAGTATTTTCTTGTTTGTCAATCGTATTTAATATATGAATAATTTAATTTGATTTTTGAACTGCTGCCTGTTATGTGCAGGAGAAACAAAAGGATAACTAATATGGTCCAATTTCAAGCTTATAATTGTATCTTTTTTTCTCTTGACTTTTGTAGAACTTGTTGGAAGGTGTGGCAAGCAAAATAAAAGTACCTAAAAAAATCCATTGGGTTGACAAAGCAAACCATGGCATGTTTGTGAAAGGACGAACAGCAGATGATGTCATGATGGAAATAAGCGTGGAGATTTTTTCTTGGATTCAAGAAATCATTGAGCAGGAATAAAAATAATTTCCAGCAATTAAATAACATCTGTTATATTAGCCTTCCCTAAAATATAATTGATTAGTAAAGACTTGTTTAGCTGGCCAACACAGACAAATACAAATGATTTCTTAATGAGTCCTGTTTGATTCAGTAACAGTCATGCTCAATATTTTTTTTAAGAATGGATTAAAAAAATCAGTGGAAGGTTACAAAGGAGGACATTTTTTTAAAGGTCTCACATGCAAAATGCTTGGTAATAAAACTGGGTTTTTTTGTGTTTCTATTTGCTGATCTGTTTGACCAAGCTAATAAACTTTTTTGTATTGTATAGCTTAAGTTTGCTGAAAAATTAACTGAATTTCTGTTGGAACCAAATCTTTAATTTAATTAATTCCTGGGTGTATTTCAGATAGCAGTTAATTTGAGTATTAAATCTCATTTCTTATGAATTTATAACTTAGAGAAAAATAATTTCCAGTTTGGCTGATCTTACAGGTCTGTTTCTTCCTTCACTTCTGCCTCATGCAGGCATTTATAGCTGTGCAAAACTGATAAAAAATACTACCATTTTGGTTTTGTAGTATTTTGCACCCTTTTAGTATGAACCTACTAACACAGTATGGAAACTAGTAGAGAATTGGGTGACGTTTAATTTCCATGAGAAAGTGATTTTACAAAAGTAATGATGTTAAATTTGATTAACCACCTACTTTGGCCAGGAAAAACATTTTTTCCACTAAAAACAATGCTTGTTTCGGCTAAAATAGCTCAAACCACTGAATTAAGATTCAGACCTTGCTCCTAATTAAGTATAGGACCTCTTAACAATCTGGGGGGACAGAGATTAGAAATCATAAATCCTTTGGATGTTAAAATTTGCTCTACAGTGTGTATTTAGCACTGATTTTTTTCAGAGGAATACATGATACTGGTTTTATGGATTTCTAGAGCTGGTACTATATAGTTCTTCATTTTTGCAGTGCATAGTGCATTTAAAAGAAATAAAAAGGAAAGTAGTTTTAAATGCACTGGAGTTAGAGCATGGCTTTGGACTCTTTTGACTCAGTTCATTCCTGCTGAATTCTGTTCACTTCTGCTATATTTTTATTGGCTGGTTAGACCTTTCAGATAGTTTTGTGCGCCTACTATAAGATTTTAAATGCTATGCAAATACCACAACAAATCCCCCTCCCTTGCCTTCCTCTTGAATTTACTTTATATTGGCAAAATCTCTAGGATACGTGTAGTCTTAGACTAGACCAGACATGCGCTATTTATTTAACCATGATAAAGTGATAATAAGGAACATACCAACCCAGTCCCTGACAGGTTTACTATCAGAAATAGTAACATTTCTTAGTCGCTTACAGTGCCAAGGCTTAAAAAAAGCAAAAGCTGAATATTTTCCAGTGTTTTCATGTTTCTGCAGAAGTGTAATGTCCAATAAGTCTTTAGGGCTGCTGGGAATCCAGCACAAATGGTATTGTCATCCATGTGAAATAGTTTGATTTTGGGGTTTTTTTTCTAAACCACTACAGTAAATTTGGTGTGGAAAGAGAACAATGATTTAACTATGTTTACGATATTAAGCCAGCTAAGCAGCATACTTGGTAAGAGTTGGCATTGTAAAACTACACTGCAGCCAAACAGCATTATTAGTACTGGTTTAAAAGGCTTCTAGTATCAACAAGTTATTTTTACTTTATTTTAAATACCAGTTAGATATATTTATTGAAAGTCAAGTATTTTCAACCAGACCATATTTTTCTTTACACTTTGTGGTTGTAGGATTGTTCATGAGTGCTAAGCTAACAGCATTCATAATATTTCACATAAAATATAACTGTCATTCTTAGCAGTACAGAACCTGAACTGAAACTAATACAAACCTTAATTTTGGCTGAGGACTATATGGACACATTTTTAGAACTTGAAGAATTTTAAATCTATCATAATCAAGACTGATCTCATGATGCTTTGTATACAGTACTTCCATTGAGGATAAAGTACATGGAGGGTGAAAACTGACTGATTTAAGAATATCATTATGTCAGAAAACGGTATGTTGTCTTACACCTGTCAAGCATCATCTAAGGATAAACCTTATCAAGTAAAAGAAAATGATAATTTTTCTATAGTATTTTAACCATCCATTATCTCTGTATGGATTACATTCTGTGGGACTCTTTGAAGATACATAGAAAGGATATTAATTTTTAGAAAACTGGCTAAGGAAAGAAGATGTGAGCTGTGTATGTTTGAAAGAGAGTCCCCTATAATCATGTTGGAAGGATGGTTTGAAATTAACTTGTATCTGGTCATTTCTTACTAAATACAAACTTCAAGAAGAATTTGGCATTAGACTTTTAAATTCACACCTGTTAAAGCAGCTTGATTGGTGTCTCCTTCCAACCACTGTTCAGGATCAGATATTAGGACAGTGAAAACAAGGTGTTTTGAAATGAAAGTGATTTTATTAAAAAAATTGTAAAAATGTTTAAATCCCAAATTCTATTAACATTGCTTGATACAAAAGAAAACAGATATTTCTAATCTGGACTATTGCACAATAAGTTTTGTATTGTCCTCTGAAATAGTAATTAACATTTTCCTTTTTTTTTAAGGAGTTGTGAGGGTAGAAGAATGTTCCACAAATAATATTATTTCTTCATGTTAGAGCTCATCTTTGGCCTGTAATTAAGAAGGAAAAATATTAATGACTGCAGTTTCAATGTTTGAGATTCTTTTATCTCTTGCTGTAATTCATTAATCCTTTCTCTGTACAGAGACTGAAAAAAAAACAAGGCCCTCCCTGGTCAGTGTCAACCTAGCAATTAGAATAATCATTGCAGCTTCTTTATGTTTTTAATGGGCCAATGTATGTTGATAAAGTGCAGGTACCTTGCGCCCAGTTCTACATAAGGCTAAAGCCTTACCCTTTAGATACTTAGGTCCAATAGTATGACCCTCGTTGCCTTACTGAATATCTATAGATGCCACAATTTTGCCAATAAAGTTCTCATGTTGTGCTGCTTTATGTTCCTGCCAGACTGAGTAGCTTAGTAGTTCTCTCATTCTTAAGCCCATTCAGGGTACTCAAACTAGGTGCCCTCCCTCACCACACCATCTTCCCTGAGGTGCATGATGTAGAATAAGCATATTCAGAGCCTGCTTGACACACCAACAGATTCAGGCTTGTCACAAAATGCAGCAATCATGGCCTGTTTTCTTTATAGATGCAGTAAGAAGAGAGTGAAATTGTGCCCACCTTCTATACAATAGAACGGTGTTTAAAGCATCAATACAGAAAATGAGAGACCTGGGTTCTCATCCTGAAAGGGTACAAGCCCACCTCCTAGGAAAGTACCCTAGACACGGAGCTGTAGACCAGCATGGATGGGAGCCCTCTCTATCCTTTCAGTTGAAGTTGTGCCATTGTGCACACAATAAAGCAAGATTCACTTGGTCACAGAGGGTGGGAGGAATGAGTTCTGGTCCCTACTTAAAGGACAGTTTGGCCAGATCCAGATGTGCAGGCATGGGCATTTCCCCAGGGACAAACAGCAGTGGCACAATATATACTGCTGCTGCTTGTCCCCAGGAATGCCCGTGCACATGTGCTCTGACACATAGCATGTTGCCCCAGGTTCATAGATTCAGAGATGTGGGGTTGGAAGGGACCTGAACAGATCATCAAGTCTGACCCCCTGCCCTGGGCAGGAATGAATACTGGGCTTATATGACCCCTGGTAAGTTTAAGCTCATATGACCCCAGCTAGGTAGTTATCAAGCCTCCTTTTTAAGACCCCTAATGTAGGAGCCAGCACCACTTAACTTGGAAGCTGGTTTCAGATCCTGGCCACCCTGACTGTGAAGTAGTAAAGGTGGGATAAGGGAGGCTGGGGTAGGGGAAGCTGGGCTCAGCGTGGCTCCGGCTGCTCAGGATCCCGATTCAGACGGTACATGCTGCCGCCATGTGCACAAACCCACTTTTTTCCACTGCAGGTTTTTCTGTCACTGGGATTTCCCAATGTCAAACTCTTCCTCACCCCGCACACTGCAAATTAACAGTGTGGGGAATGCCTGCATGTGCAGCACGTGTAGTGCTTCAGATGGGTCTGCAGCACCGCATATCATACATGAGTGCTCATCTGGACATTCCCTTTCAGTTTTTTACATGAAATGGTAATCTGAAAAAGTAATTAGTGTTAGGAAGATGGACTAGAATCCAGGGTGGTGTCATACTCCTTGCTTTGTCCCAATACATGTTCCACTCTTAGATACATGGTAGCCAAGCTGCAATATTGAAAACATTCAGCACCCTGCAGGATCAGATCTTCGATGTGCACATACTGTACCTTCCTTCTGTGACAAGAACATGGAAAGAGGTCATCATCAGGCTGCTGCACCTTCTCCATGCCATCTCTGATTTTTGGCTTGCTCACTTGTAAATTAGCATATTCCTAATTCAAGAAAAGGGATTCTTATCTTATGAATTCATCTGTGATGCATACACACCTCAAATTAATAGTCATGTTGGATATCTATGGCCAAACAATTTCTCAAAACCTCCTACAACGTCACAGATGATAGAGATACTTAGCTACAAACAAGAACACCATTTGGTGCCTCACTGGAGTGTCAATATCTCAGTGCTAATACACAGACATTTTCAGCTGTGGTTTGGAGGGGGCATGTGTGATTCTGAACTCTTTGATCACTGCTGAGTACAGCAGTGGAGAATATGGGCTGAGATTTATGGGAACTGGAATGCCTCTGTTAAACTGCCAATCTAGTTTTAAGGGATCTTATAGGCCATAACTTGCATACTCCATCTGTAATTTACTTAAGGTTCTTGATTGCTCTGCTTTGCTTTGCAACTTCACTAGAGTGGCCAATTCCAGTATCTGTGCCCCGTCACATTCATAATTTTCTTTTAGTAGTTTAAAGATAAGCTAACCTGGAAAAGTTTGAAATAATAGCAGAATATGTGATCTCCCATGAGATTATTTCTTGCAAATTCTTGTCCAGATTCTGCAATATTCTTTGCCTATCAAAGAAAAAAATCCTGAGACAGGAATATTTCTGGAGAGGACAACAATAATTCTGAAATGCAATTTACAGTGGATAGGTTTATATAATTAATCTTCCAATTTTGTGAATAAGTGTCTAGGTACCACTGTGATGAGTTGCTCATAGTATAACAAACACTTATTACTGATAATATGGCAAGGAGAAAGAAATCTGACTTCTCTGGAATAACTTAAATTTTTTATGTTGTGAATAAAACTATTTCTCATAAGATCAAATCAGTTTTCAAAGCAAGGACTGAAGTGGGACATACAATCTAAATATATCTAGCTTGTCCATCTACACAGTATGCAACATTGAAGACCTACAGATGTAATTAGGTTATTTACTTATATCATGAAACATTGTTAAATATTTAAATATGAATATACCCCCTCATCATGATCTTTTGCCCATTGTAGTTTCTCCAATAGATCACTCAGGTCACTTTTGAATGGAATGTAGTGTTTCCATGGCTGCAGCTCGTTATAGAAATGTTCGTAGTAGATGGAGTCTTGTTTCAGCACCACACTGTTTCCTGCTAGTAGGTAAGGCAATCTGTATGCAGCCACTGTGCCATCAATATTAATTTGGTATTTATACTGAAAAAGTAAGTAATACACTATTAATAAACATATGACCTAGTTTGAATAGGTGATTATTGTTACTGTTACATTAAATGATACTAGCTAGCTGACTGAGATAAGCAGAATGTGTCAGATAAGCATTGTATTGTAAAATTTTATTTTTATTACTAGCCAACTGCCCGTCAAGAATGATGGGGGAGGGGAAACAGGAAGGGATGGAGTGCCGCCACCCGCTGGCCCATGCTGCTGCTGCTTACCTCCGACCCCTTGCGTCTCCCCACCAATTTGTCTCCGTGTACCCCCCCACTGCTTCACCCCATGGCGCCGCCACTGCCAGGTGTGGGATGGGGACGTGTGGAAAGCTTGCACACAGTGGCTGCAGCCACCACCTAGTGCAGCCGCCACTGCGCGTCTGGCTGTGTGCAACCCTCCTCCCCCATCCCTATTCTGTTCCCTCCTTCCCTCCCAGCTGTTTTCAGGACCTGGTGGCGGCGGGGCACTGCCACTGTGCCCCCCCTCCCCTCCCACTTCCCTCCCCCTCTGGCTTCTGTCAGGACCCAGCAATGGCAGCAAGGCCAGAGCAGGGGGGCAAGGACAGTGCTGCCCTGCCAGCACCTTGCACTGCCACCTCCCAGGAGCAGGGGGCTAGGGGAGAAGCTTGCCCTTCCATCTCCTCTGTCCCCCTTGGCCAGCACCCTGTGCTGCCACTGCCTCCAGGGAGCAGGGATGGGGGGACACCTCCTGTCTGGAACACTTTTGGAGCACTGATTGGTTGTTTCAGACAACCAATCAGTGCGAATAAAGTGTTACAGACAGACAGACAGACTCAGGCTTTTATAATATTAGAATTTAGTGTGAAATTCATTACATTGCAAATGGTACATGGACGTATCTCACTAGACAAGACAGATAAATAATAAAAGAGAATTTAGGAAGATTAGATTGGTCAGGATGTTACTAAAAAAATCACCAAATCTAATAAGCCAAGTATAATCATCCTAAACCTAAAAGGACTGTACAGGAATCAGTAAAAGTATAATTCTTTATCAGCAAGTTTGGTTTGTGTTTGAAAATTAATATGCTTTAATGCATATGTTATATATGCAGAGATATTTTGAAAAACCTTCAAACAGGGACATTAAACCTACAAAAAATTATAAATAATAGTTGACGTCTTACCTTAAAAAAATCAAAAAATGAAATGTGCTTCACAATGGGACCATAGAGACTTTCATCATGCTTAAAAAAGAAAAAATTTGTAAGAGCAGCATCTATGACATCTGGGTGTCTTCTACTGAGCTTTACAAGTTCAAGCCTCTCTTTTCGGCTGTCACGTCCTCTCCAAAATGCTGTACTGTTCTTCTCTTCCCAAGGTGGCCCAGTGTTGGCCTGGACAGACATCATATCCAAGCTAACTCTGGAGAAGATGAACATTTCAAAAAGAAGTATTTTGTAGTTTTTATGCATCAGTATTTAAAAAACAATTCTGGGGCTGCTTCTACCTCACAGTTGCTACATGCAGGGTCCATCTACACATGTGCTTTACTGTGGAGTTGACTAATTAGCTCCACAGTAAAGCCTCACAGTCTACACGTGCGCTGGTATTAGGACACAGTAAATTAATTAACTGCCATAAAAGCAATGTCGGGGACAGTATTATCTTACAGTGGAGACATTTACTGTGCAGAACCGCATGTGTGGACAGTAGTAGTTTGAGCCAGGGCAGAGCAGCCCCAGGATGGCAGAAAAACCAGGGAGTCAGCCACACAGCTCCCAAGTCTTGGTGCTCTCGTGCCCCAGCCAGCCCCTCCACTGCCCAACACCACCACCCAGAGCCTGGAGATCACCCCCAAGCCTACTGCCAGCTCAAACTGCTGTGGTCCTGGGTGCCTGTGAAGATGCTGTGCCCGGCAGCATTTGACTCCAGTGCAAAATATGCCAAAGTTTTTTGAGCCATATTAATAGCTCGCGTAGATGCA